CGACGGAACAGGACGAGAGACAAGCGGATGAACATATACATAAATGGTCTAAAACTGTTCAACCGAAATGCGACACTACTTCTGATCTAAGAGAAAAAATAAAAAAGGGTAAACTATTTAATACTTAAAATATTAATTTTAATTTATTTTAATACTAAAATTTTAATTTATTAAAACTACAACAAACGTTTAGATTTTGTTTAATCTTAATCATATCCGCATTTAAAAACTTAACTAACAACTTGATACTTTCTATGAGTTAAATTATATCATTCATCCCTTAACTATCTTTTTACTCATATTTTGGTCATTAAAGTTTAAGGTTTTTAATTCAATTTTTTAACATTCAAATTACTCTTAATTTAATCACTATAACGTTCAAGATTAATTTTTTTATTTTAATTATGCATCGATAAATAATAAAAATATCATGCTACAAAATATTATTAATAAAATTAATTAGAGTGATTACAACATGAACAATTTGATAGTTGAGTTTTTAAATTGAATTTTTTTAAAATTTTAATGACCAAAATAGAAGTGAGAATATACTTAAGGGATGAATGATGTAATTTACCCATAAAAATTTCACGTGTGCAAAGTTTTAAGCAAAAATTTGATTAAATTTGTAATGGTGGGTACAATAACGAAAAAAACCTAAACATTAAGTAGATTTTAAAAACTTATAAGTTTAATTATTAAAACGAATTAAAATTAACAATTTAGATACTAAATGTATAATTTACCCATGTAAATAAAAAAGTTTTGTCTGGTTCTGTTTCTCTTGTAGTGGAAAATTGTCCGTATTCAAGCTCCCGAAGCAAATGGTTTTATATGCTGTTTTTTTTTATTAATGCTTTTCGCGATCGCTTAGTAACTTTGATATAAGGATGAAATATTGATCAAATTGAATACGTCAAAAGAAATTGATAGATGAGTTGATTACTTTTATTTTAAAATTCAGATTTTATTTAATTTTTTAAATTAAATTAATTTTTTAAATTTGTATTTAAATTTAATTATATTTTTTTATAAAATTCATTAATTTTATTAAAAATTAAACAAATTCAAATTACGATAAATGTTTATAATCGTAATAGTAAATTAAACACAAAATAAAAAATATTTTCTTAACCATGAGAAAACTTGTCATTTAAGATCACAAGGATCATATAAAGAAAAAAAGGTTAAAAACCTTAACAAAATAAACTCAAATAAAATATAGATACGAACACATCTGACCACATAGACAAACGAACCACAAAAGGGAATGAAACTATTAAAAGATAACCGATAAATTGCAAAACAGAATTAAGCGACGTGAAAATACTATTCACAAACGTCATTCGCATATCCAAATAGAATCCGAGAATCCAAAGTAGATCAGCATGATAACAAATAAAGTGACATCTTGATCAGTCGTGGCAGTGTCAAATATAATCCTAAAAAAAGATGAATAAAAATAACGGTTAAACAACCGAAAATGTACCATAAAGACTTAGAAAAACGTGACATAAAGGTAAACTTATTTGGAGTAAGAAATAAAAAATAATAATGATATGCTATAATAAAATAAAGGAAAAACAACAAATACCGGCGGTCAATGAAAAATACCCAGGTTAACGTTGTAGCCGATTATAAAGATGAAAAAAAATTTCTATCTATGGCCAAAGATTAAGAAATGCCCATATGTAATGAGATAAGGGAGAGGTAAGATAATAAGTTGCCTCCAAGTCAGGTTGAAAACAGCTTTCGTGGGAGACCTCCAAATTATAAAATGCCCTCCGTGGGACTTAATCTCACGACCTCAAGATTACGAACCTTGTGCTCTACCAACTGAGCTGGATGATCATTTCTTAAAAAGATAAAACATAATGCTAATTATAAATATCTATTATCATACGAATTGATCTAATTTAATAGTTTTCTAATCATATAATATATATTTCTTTATATTATATTTTATGTTATAGTACTATTTAAATAAATTAAATATAATTTAAAATTTTATATTCGATTCTTATTAAATTTTAAAAAAATGATTTAAATTGTACCAGCGAAGATATTCTAATTAATAATCAATCTGGTTGGACTATGAAACACGTGTAACTATCTTTTGGTCCAAATATTGATTTTGTCCCATGTTGGCAGCCAGCCATGGTATCGACGACCCAATGAGGTGGTCAAATGAAAAGCCCATATTATCACTAATTAAGTGATTTCAGTAATAAATAAATTATTATTATTTTTTAAGATTCAATTATCAGGAATATTAGAATATGAGCATTCAATATAAAATAGTTAAATTGTGTTTAAATAGATACCGTCTTATAATTACCTCAGATTAATCAAATAAATAAATAAATTAAACTACACCATTAATCACTAACTTTATTATATGTATAAACTTTAATGTGGAATTTTAAAATATTTCAATTTTAACCATTAAATTTTAGTTTACATTTCAATTAAGATATTAGATTGTTAAACCACTAGCAATTAGGTGTAAGGGTGTAAACGAGCCGAGTCGAGCTCGAGTATTGCTGAGCTCGACTCGACTCGAAAACTCTGAAATAGAGCTCGACTCGACTCGAAAACTCGCGAGCTTAAAATTTTCAAGCTCGACTCGAACTCGAAATCCTAAACTAAAGCTCGTGAGCAGCTCTAAAAGGCTCGAAATGAAAAAAAAAATCTTAAACTTAACTCGATTGAAGCTTCAAACTCAAACTCGAACATGAACCTTAAATATATAAAAATCTTACTGTATTTAAAAAAAATCAATACATAAGTATTAATATTATTAATAATTTATTCTCTAAAAAAATAAAATCTTAATATATTATATTTTCGAGCTGCTCACGAGCTTTTCGAGTCGAATATCGAGTAGCTCGTTTCAGCTCGTTAAGAACTCGAGTCGAGCTCGAGCTCGAGTCGAATCCATTCGATCCGAGTATTTATCGAGCCTTAATCGAATCGATCTAAAGTAGTTCACGATCTATCTCGTCTCACTTACCACCCTAATTAGGTGATGTGATAGTTTGGTGTTCACAACGAAGTAAAAAAATTAATTTGTTCCACTTGGTCACCTTTTTCATCAAAATTATTATTATTTTTATCTATTTTCAGCCATCTTCAAAAAAATATCTTTTTCAGCGTATTTTTAGACCATCATGAGATTGATAAACTCGTATTATCATCTTATACCACTTCATCAAAATTCTTGTTGGGCAGTTTATCCACCAAGATCAAATGTGTAACATCGATTTATCTAGAATAATCAGAATAAAAGCTTGAAAAATCGGAAAAAATAATGACAAAAAATAGAGAAGAATAAGATAGAAGAATTTGACCTCATAGTCAAACTTCCCTTCCCCCAAATTATATATATTATTTTCTAATTAAAAAATTATATTTATAGTCAAATTAGACATACAAAGCCAAATCCATCTAAATAACTTGAAAGAGAAACGAACTTCCATTTTTGGTTATACCCAACTTCGTCCTAATGGCCAATGGGTTAAAATTCCATTCAAGTCATGAAAAAAAAGAATTAATTCCAGTAAGATGCCTCTAGACTACAAGCTAAATATTAAATTAATCATTAACTTTTAAAATATTTTAATTTAGTCCTGAAAGTATCAACTTTGCATTGGTTAGGTATTTTTATTAACCAAGTACTATATTTAAAATAACATGGATCTAACTTATTAGATATACACTATTAAAAAACACAATGATTATTTCTGTTTGTTATAGCATGTGTGATCCATGTTGCCCATGTGATTAGTGCAAACATTATTAAAATTTGATCATCCTATTATTATTTTTAATTTGAAAGAGTCAAAAACTAAAAATTAAGATACAATGAACATTCTGCATAGAGAATCAACATATTTTTAATACACATTCAATGCTATATCCAAACTGACATTTAACTTTTAATCCGATGATTAGGACGATGAAATGTTATTTACAATATTATCTTTTTTACAGTAACGTTTAATTTTATTAGAAATAAAAAATATTCGAATATTAACTAAGGGTTACAATTATAACCGTAAATTGAACATGTAATAAGGATATTTTCCTAATCATAAAAGAATTAGTCACTTAAGATCACACAAGAACCGCATAAGGAAAACGTTAAAAAATATAATCAAATAAACTCGAACAAAAGGTAGATATGAACATATTTAAATGCATTGGTAAACGAACCACAAAAGGAAATGAAGCTATTGAAAGACCACCGATAACTCACAAATCATAATCGAACGACATGAAAATTTTATCTACAAACGCAAATCGTGCATCTAAATCTAATTCCATGGCCCAAAGTAGGGAGGATCAACAGTGAAAATGTGGCATCTTGATCAGTCGTGACGATGTCGAATCTAACCTTGAAAAAATGATAAACGAAAACAATGTTCAAACGACCGAAAACATGTCATAAAGACAGAGAAAAATGTGTCATACAAGCAAAAGAATACGTGTCATAAAGGCAGAGTTATTGAAAATAAAAGACAAGAAAAAACAAAGATACTGTATAATAAAAAAAAAGGAAAAACAATGAATATAGACGATCGGTGATCAAAATCAAAACTAGTGCCACCATCAATCATAAAGATGAAGAAGAAAAGAGAATAACGAGCACTAAAAAAAAAGGGCAAACCCTAGTAGCGTTATTAAAAATATGATATTAATTCTTTATTGATTTAATTATAATATTTTAAACTTTTGAGATTAATTTAAAAGTTCGAACATAATCAGGGGTAAGGGCACCAGCGCAAATAAGAGAAGATAAAGTTACAAAATAGGAAAATTCTCAACAATACAAAAAGGTGAAAGGCGGGAGAGACAGGGTGGTACGCTATAAATAGAGTCGTTGGGCGCCATCTCCCCACCACGTACCAAACAGCTAGATTGCATACGCTATAACTAAAGGTAAAGACTTGAAGATTCTAAATTATATAATATTCTCGTCTTTGCAATTTTTTTCTCGAGAAAATTTTCTCCTCTATTGATTCAGTTTAATTTTGTTCGAGGTATGATTATGAACGTTCAGATTTCAGTTATCTTTTTGTTATTGTTGTTCTTTTGGTTTGCTTTGATCTGCGTTTGCTGGTTGAAATGTTGTTGCTCTGTTTGGTTGGCAAGAAACGAAAGGAAAATTCTGGATGTTGCTTGAAAAGAGGTTTTGACTTTTGAGTGTTGGTAGGGGGCCATAGGAGAGTTAATATTCTTTTCCCCTCAAAATCGTTACGTTTTTTTTTTTACTTTTAGAATGTCAATTTTCCGGTTGCTGTTTCTTGTAATATTATCAAACGTAAACGATTATCGAAAAGAATGATCTGTTTTGTTACTTTCGTATTATAACAGACAGGGAAGCGGAGTATGTGTTTGTTGTTTGTTTGCTATCATTTTCTCCATCCTTTTTGTTAAACTATCTCAGAACTTAGTTATTTGAAACTTTTTACTTCTCAGATCTGCTGTTTCTCTTTTCTTTAGCGATTCTTCTACTTCCTTTGCGGCATATTTACAGTGATGCTCTGCTAAATTACCGTGTCGTTTTAGAAGATTCAACGTAATAGTTTCTCTGTAGAAATCAAGAATAGCTTATTTGATTTTTAAAATAGAAGTTCTTATGTTAGATTTTGGATAAAACTCAATTGATAAATTGGGATGTGGGTTGAACTATGGAATCTGTAAGCTTCATTATAGCCATAATTTGAGGTTGTCTTGGACTTGTAATTATCTGGTTTTTTAACGCTTCTTTTAAAATGATCTGATTCTTTATTATATTTTAATACGTGATACAGTTGAAGAATGCAACAGATGCTTTTCTAGAAGGCTTGCATTTTGCAAAAGAGGGAATTCTTTTTTACTTTATAGCATGGTTGTCACTGCTGTTACATCCGCATTCTTTCCGGTCACTTCATCGCCGGAATACTCCGACTCGAAAAAGAAGAAGCATGGAAATGGATCCATTAACATCGGAGGTATCACATCAAAATCGTCGTCTTCTCGAAGCTTGCAAGTCAAGGCAAATGCTCAAGCCCCTCCGAAAATAAATAGAACCAAGGTCGTCACACCTACAGTGGAAGTTTTCAAGAATGAGGATGGGGTCAATTCTCCTCCTCCGAGGACGTTTATCAATCAGTTAACAGATTGGAGAGTGCTTCTTACTGCTATCACGACCGTTTTCTTGGCTGCCGAGAAGCAGTGGATGATGCTCGATTGGAAGCTTAAGCGACCGGATACGCTCGTTGATCCATTTGGTATAGGAAGGATTGTTCGGGATGGTCTTGTTTTCAGACAGAGCTTCTCGATTAGGTCTTACGAGATAGGTGCTGATCGTACAGCATCCATAGAGACAGTAATGAATCATTTGCAGGTTCGGGTTATTGTTATTCGGCTAGGACGTCAAGGAACTAAACTTATATTTACTGATTTTCATGTTGAGATTTGGCTGAGACTAATTCTTTTTGCAGGAAACAGCACTTAATCATGTTAGAAGTGTTGGAATGCTAGGAGATGGTTTTGGTTCAACCCCAGAGATGTGCAAGAAGAATCTAATATGGGTAGTCACTCGGATGCAGATTGTGGTTGATCGCTATCCTACTTGGTAAGATGTACTTTTTTTTTTTGCATGAACGCAAAATTGTATAGTAGGAGGTACAAGTTTTCAACAAGTTATATTAGAAATTTAGGGGTGCGAGATTACAAAATTTTAGGGAGTAAGAAATCAATTATTGATATAAAATATAAAGAAAAAACTTAAATTTCATGGTCAAGTTGAACTCTTACATTGACTTATTTTGTTTCTCTTGCAGGGGTGATGTTGTTCAAGTAGATACTTGGGTCAGTGCATCAGGAAAGAATTGCACAAGAAGGGATTGGGTTATTCGAGATATTAAAACTGGTGAAATTTTAGCCAGAGCTTCAAGGTGAGGCTTAATTTGTTTGGCTGGTTTTTGTTCTTACCTTCAAACAAATGATGCATGCGAAAGGATCTCATGTTCATAGTATATTATCATATGATATAATCTTTTCTTTGCCATGATCTTCTACATTATTGAATGGTATTTTCATGAGTGACTCATCTGGGTTCCCTCTGTTTTTGATTTTGGTGATGTGCAGTATTTGGGTTATGATGAACAAACTGACTAGAAGGTTATCTAAAATACCAGAAGAGGTCCGAAGGGAGATAGAACCTTATTTTATGAATTCTGATCCTGTTGTCGCCGAGGATAGCCGGAAATTGATGAAACTCGACGACAGCAGTGCGGAACTTGTTCGTAAAGGTTTAACAGTAAGTCTCCGATTCTCGATCGTTTTTCTTCAGCGTCTATTTCTATTCAATTGCTGCATTCTTATTGAAAGTTTCCTTCTAATTTGCAGCCCAGACGGAGTGACTTGGATGTGAACCAGCATGTCAATAATGTGAAATACATTGGCTGGATCCTTGAGGTAGATTCACTCCCTTATCATTTCTGTACATTCCTTTAGGTACATTGGCTGGTGGTTCCTCGGAACCACGATATTGCTCGAATCCATTTCGGAATCAGTATTTTTCGCGACTTTCGCCAATTTTGCATGCATTTTAACTAATACTTGTTGCAGAGTGGCCCATTGCCAATGTTGGAATCTCACGAGCTATCTTCCATGACACTGGAGTACAGGAGGGAGTGTGGGAGGGACAGCGTGCTGCAGTCACTAACCGCCGTCTCCGACCATGGTGACGGGAACTCGGTGAGTCTCGGCGAAATCGAGTGCCAGCACTTGCTCCGTCTTGAAGATGGGCCCGAGGTCGTAAGAGGAAGGACTCAGTGGAGGCCTAAGAAATCGGAAAGTTCCGGCAATGAGGGTCGAATTCCAACCGAAAGTGCCTAGGAATCCAAGTCTGTACCAATGCAGGATGTGCAGTGGTCTCATTACTTTGATTCACATTGCTATGTAGAATATACATACATACATATGTATGTATGTATGTATGTATGTATGTATAAGCTTCTTTGTAGTTAGCTCTTAATTGAATCAAGAAGTGTACAAGGAAAGTAGGAAAGACCAACATGCCTGAGGAGGAGATTTAGTTATTCTTTATTGATTTATTCTATATATATATGTATAGTAAATATATACATACATACATACATACATACATACATATGTATGTATATATGTATAAGCTTCTTTGTAGTTAGCTCTTAATTGAATCAAGAAATGTACAAGGAAAATAGGAAAGACCAACATGCCTAGGAGGAGATTTAGTTATTCTTTATTGATTTATTATATATATACTCCTAAAATATGTTAATAAAATACATGTGATGTTATTTTTTTTCATGCTGATGGTAAAACCGTAGCCTATCACCGATTTTCATTTGCGATAAGATTAATATCAAAATGATCACATTTCATTAATTTCTTATTATATGATTGATAATCCATGAAACCTATCCAAAATTAAAGGAACTAAACAAAAAGTCCACTATTTTTGGAAGTTTGGGATCTTTCTCAAATTTGAGGGTTCAAATTGTTTATTCCAAAATATAAATGGGGACAAGTATTATTTTGAAAAGACAAAAAACATACCTCATAATTAGCTTTATCATATAATTATAATAGGAGATTCTAGTATTAGCATGTTTAACCTTTAGATCATTTTTCGTTGATTTTGAATGAATTTCTTAAAAAATCAATAAGATCGTAAAAAATATGAGCTCAATGCGAACATTTTGATATTGACCTTATTATGAATATCAACTAGTGACGAGCGATTATTGGTTATCTACTGGCGACGGCTAAAAAATTGAATGCCTAAAATCGGATTTTTTTAAGTGAAAATTTAGTAATATAAAGTTCAATGAAACTAGCTAGATTTACTTTATTTTTTTGTTTAAATATTAGAAAAATCAGCCTTGAGTCTCGACCGAGAGAACCTTACCGGCTGAAACCTCTACCGCCTGCAACCGTACTTGAGGATTTCGTCGATGAAAAAGAAAGAGAAAAAAAAGTAAACTACGTACTTAGTACTTAAACTATAAGTTCTGATTTCTTTTAGCATCTAAACTTATAATTTTTTTAAAATCATACATAATATTTAATTTTCATTTCATTTTAGTACCATCTATTAAAAATTTAACGCATTTAGTATCTAAACTATTAGTTTTGATAAGTTTTAGTGAATAAACTTTTAATTTTTCCCGAAACGTAACGTTAAATTTTGAACGAAGATACTATAATGAAATAAAAACTAAAATTTTTAACGGCGTGTATTAAAATAAAACAAAAAAACTAAATTTTAATGATTTTAAAAATTAAAAATTTAGATACTAAAATAAATTAAAACTTATAATTTAATTATTAAATACGTAATTTACCTAAAATATATATTCTACGAATACAAAAGGGACACGTAGCCAGCAATTGGCGCCACGTGTCGGAGATTCATTTCTGGCATTGACTTTAAAGTTTATGACATTTTGGTCCACTTTTATCTTCCATTTGACTTTTCTCTACCTTCTTTTAGGTTTTACACTCCGCGGGTAAAGCATTTTACCGTATAATTGTGAATTATGGAGCAAATGCTCTATTTAAAAATCGAATCGAATCGGTCGGTTTAATGATTCAATCGGAAATCATTGTTTAGTCCGGTTTAATCTAAATCGGTTAAACCGTTATTAGTGAACCGACCAGAAACGTTGAACTATTCGAACTGGACTGGCTAAAAACCGGGATTTTTGTTTAAAAAAAAAAAATTAAACCAAACAACGTCGTTTGTTAAACGAGCCAAGTCGAACTCGAGTATTGCTGAGCTCGACTGGAACTTGAAAACTTTAAAAGTAAGTTCCACTCAACTCAAACTCACAAGGTAAAAATTATCAAGTTCAACTCAAACTCGAAATATAATATTGAAACTTGAACTTAAAAATGCTTGAACTCAAAAAAAAATTAGAAGCTCGATTGAAGCCTAAAATTCGAGCTTGATTGAAGTGAAAGAATAGTTCACTCAATGCTCACCAAAAGGCTCCATGATTTTGAATGCCAAATTACCTCTATTATTTATAGAAGTTAGTTGTGATGCGCTTCTATGTTTCTTAGCAATGTGAGATTGTTTTGTTCTCATATTTTTACTCTTTAGACTTTTGGGATGCTCTTCTATGTTTTTTAGCTATGTGTGATTGTTTTTTAAAAAAAATTAAACCAAACAATATCATTTTGTTATGATTTTTTAACCCCAAATTTATTTTTTAATTATAATTATATAATTATATTTATTATTTAATATGTTTTACCTTAAATATTATGTTGTAGTTAATTTAAATCATTTTGTTTCATTTAATTTTATGGTTTTTAACTTATATGTTATGACTTGTGATATAAAAATTATTTTATTAAATATTTTGGTATTTTTATTTAATTTTTTAAATAATTATGACGTCGTCCGATTCTTCCGACCGGTCAGATCGGTTCGACCAGTTGAACCAGTGAACCGATAGCATGACCGATTCATTAACCGGTTCGATTCTGAAAATCATGAGCAAATGAATCATTGTATATGCATATAATTGTATTTGTATTTTTTAATATAAGTGATTAGTATTATTAAAAAATAAACATATTTAAAATTACGGTTTGTAATTATCATCGTAAATTAAATATATTTTAGATATTTTCTATAATATTAAAATTAATCACTTTAGATCGTATAAGGATTTTACCATGAATCGCAAATTAGGGTCGAATGTCATGAAAACTATCTACAAACACAAAATCACGTATCTAAATTTAATTTGAGAGTCCATAGCAGGGAAGATCAACATGGTTACAAATTAGCGACATCTTGATCAGTCGTGACGTCGTCAAATCCAACATTAAAAAAACGTAAAATAAAAATAATGACTAAACAAACGAAAAAAGACAAAAAAACATACCGCAAAGACAAATAATAATCGTATTCATATTTCTTTTATATTTATTGAAATTAAAATATTATACATTTTGATATATTATTGTAACGTTTATTTTATATTTTGTTATGCAGAAAATGAATAGATAAACTCTTTAACAAAAGAGAAATACAGTATCAATATTTTAAATATAAAATACATAGTTTATAAATTAGGATTTTATGTCATAATAATTAAGAGTTATTCAAAGATTGAATCTTGATTCTATGAATTAAACAAATTCGAATAAAAAGATAATTTTTATATTGAATTTTATTATATCAATTCGAGATTAATCGATTAATAAATTTAATATATTAATAATGCTTAAAAAATAAAATACATGTACTTCATTTGGGAAGGAGTTCTCTTAACCATGATTTCGTTCACAAAGATTCAAAGGGATGACTATAATTGTGCTACTAGACATCAGGTCCCCAACTTAATCATTAATCGCTAATACTCATTATTACTTACTATAATGGTAATTATTAAAGAAGTTTTTTTTAAAAAAAATGGAAATTTAACATATGTCCTTTTGAGAAAATGCCACACTGGTCATTCTCTTCAATCAAAGGAGCTCAGGCTGTCGATCTTTCATGGAGATCCAACACCACTTCATCACTTTCAAACTCAAAACTCCAACCCCATTTCTTCCCTGACCCTGAATCTCATGAGAAATCTAAATGCTCTTCCTTTTGTTTAAAGCCTAAGCCTTTTCCAGACCAATTTCCTTTTCACTTCCTTCTTTGTTGAAAAAACCCTTTTTTACAGCTCAACAATCACAGGTTTCCTTCCACTCCCCTCTCTTATGGATTTATTCTTGGCTTAATTGCATGATTGGTTCGAAATATTTGGCAATTTATAAGCTTCATAATGGCATTTTTCATTTTGTGCTGGTTCTTTCTTCCTTGTTGTAGCTCATAGTTTTGTTTGTTAAAAAGTACTCTTTTTTCCTGCTAAATGAGATCTGGTTTTCATTCTGTTTGTGATTTGGTGCTAGATCTTTGTTGATTTACTCTCCTTTTCACTTTATTTGATCAGATCTGGAGTTTATATGAGATTTTCCTATGAAACGAAATTCAATCTTTTGCTGCTATCAGGCCCTGTTTCTTTCTAGAGTTGATGACTTTGTTCATGGGGAACTTACTTTTCAAGTTTGATTGTATCAAAGTGAGTGATTTAGCTTGATTTGGGTTGCCATTTGTGAAGAATAGCATAATTTTCTAGCATCTGGTAGTTGTTAGACACTCCAGCTTTTCCTTAACTAGTCAAGAATCATGGCGATTTTTCGAGATTTGCCGAATTCGATATTTGTTGCATTGAATGTTGTTTGATTGTTAGCTTTTCAATTCGATCCCATGAATACATATGTCAACCAGAATCAAGGGATGTTAAGATTTTAGCATGGTTGAAAATATTGCAAGTGGATCCATTGTTGCTAAATTACCATTATCGGATGTGTGCTCGGTGTTCTGATCTTTTATTCTTTCCATAAAAAATCGATGCTGTCCTTTTTATAGTTTACAATTTGTAATTTCGAATTGTTGGTCGAATCACTGTAAGTCCTTAACTGTTGTAATCTAATTCAGGAAGTTTGTGTTGGTGGGAGTTAACTTATTGGCATCATGCTCAAACAATTTCTAAGAAAACTACCTCGGAAGTCGCAAAGATCGGACTCGTTAGATTCAGCTGGGACTGATCCTGTTGACCGTACTTCTAACTCGGATGATGGAGTTCAATGTACGAATTTCGGGAATAAAATTTCAAGCCGACTTCGTGTTGTTAAACGGGTGTCCTCAGCTGTTTTTCCTGCTAGCATTATGGCTGCGTCTGAGGCAGTTGAGCCAAATCTGGCTTTCAACGATGTTTCAAATCCACAGAAACCGAACCTGTTTATCAGTAAATTGAACCTCTGCTGTGAAGTTTGCAATTCCAGTGATCCGGATAAAACTTCTGCTGAGCAAGATCTTAA